TGCTTAAGTGACACATTTCATGTGTCAAGTGTAATTTTGCTCATTGATAGCTTTGCTATTTTATGTTAGAAGTTTAAAGAAGAAATATAAATATTCAATTTAAAATCTCAAATACTATTCTTATCATCCAAGATGAGCAGATTTATTTCGTTCATTCTTTGCATGTAGACAATCCAAATAAAAACAAATGAAATAAAATTGCAGAAAAATATTCTGCTAAATGTGCTTAAGTGACACATTTCATGTGTCAAGTGTAAATTTCAAGTGCAAATTTCATGAATAAAAAGCCTACAAAAATTATACTAAGATTTATTTTTAAAATGAAAAAACTACTTTATATGGCGGGTGAACGAGTGAAAATATATATTTTACAGAGTTGGTCTCTTATATTAAATCGTGACTGACTGTGGACAAAGACAGATATTATTATTGTGTCCTTTTCACCCTGATCATGTCAACCTGATCTAAATCAGCTGGTTCGGATGTTATCAGTCCATTAAATGGACGTTATTAACGGTTATCAGTCCCATAGAATGGCTTCAGACTGTCCCGACAGTGCCCCCTAGTGGGTTACCAGTGCCATATATGTTGAAATGCAACAATCTGCTACCGCCAGAGTCTGGTCTATTTTATCGTAGTCCATGTCATTTTCTCTAAAATTAACCTTAGTGGCTTTATGCCTCATATTAACCAGCTGAAAGTCTGAAGCCATTCTATGGGACTGATAACGGTTAATAACGTTCATTTAATGGATGATAACATCGGAAGTGGGTGTCTAAATGAACCTGTTGATTTCTCTGAGCAGTACTTTGGGGCGTGGACTTCACAGAGCGTTAAAGACAGAGTGACGGAGGTCCTGTACGGCTGGACTCTCTGGCTAAAAGAAGAACCAAAGATTCAGGAAGCCTACAGAATGCTGAAGAAACAGAGTGAGGAACAACACAAACACAAATCATCATATGTGTGCAGAAACTTCATCAACCCATGGAAACACCACAGTTTGCTGAAAATAACCGTGTTGTGTACAAAGAGAAAAAAAATGTTTTTTTTTACTTGTCAGACGTCATAAAGAAGGATCCCAAACTTCCAGACACACTGATTATGGCTCCACCATCACAAAGAACAACAGATTCAGTTTTTGACCAAGACGACAAGGCCAAGGTTAGTGACTATGATGGTTAAAAAAAAAACACCTACTCGGTTTTATTTAGTTAAAAAATCTGTTTTTCATCAGCTGTTAGCAAGATTACTGAACAGCAGCCGTCCAGAAGACCTGGAAACTGCCAACAGGCTCATTAAAAYCACCATCAAGGAGGTGAGGACAGCTGTGGAGGTGATTTCTAACACCCGTCAACGACTGTATGAATTCATTTTGACCGGCGTGCTGCTTCTTAGGAGCAGGAAAAGGTTGAGAAGGTGGCGAAGCGCGAGTCGACTCTGAAGGAGGTGGCGAGCAGCACCAAGCAGCTCAGAGAGGTACTGGACCAGCACACGGGTACCAGGACTTGTTTACAGCCCAGCGATGACATGAAGGTACATTGGACATCAAAACATTTTTAATTATTGTTGCTTTGAACTGAAACTGTTTGAGTTTGACTGCAGCACTTCAGCTTCTTGTTTTAGTGCTTACTGCTTGTGTCTATATACAAGCCCAGAAACAAAAGCTAAAATGCACACAGTTTTTTTTAGAGTGTGCAGCAAAATGAATGAATTCTCTTACTGTTCAGTTGGTTTGAGAGGAATGTACTTTGGACTCCACCCATCGTTCAGTGTGTCAGTAATTCATGTGAACCCTCTGTAATCTGTGCATGACGGGACAATGTTCCAGTGTCAGGTGATGTTAGACATGTTGGCCATTCTCAGGCTTTATTCAGCTGCTGAATAAAAAGAAAACTCCATGATACTTTATCATCTTCTTTATGTGCACTTATTAGATTATAGTTACTCTTGCAAAGCTATAAGGTAATTTTTTGCTCGTTTTGCTATAGTATGAATCACAGGCTCCACTTAAGTTGTTTTCACTTTTTTCTCTGTTTAAAAACATTTATAGTATTTTTACATGCTTTAATTTATGTATGGATATGATTCAGAACTATTTTTTAAAGTTAAATTGCTTTTAAGCTGTTATCCCTTGGCCCAGTCTGGCTTGTGATTGTTCTTCTTCAGACGTTCTTTAATCTGAGTTCTTCCTTCGTTTGTGTAACGTTTGAATTATATCAAATCGGTTAAAATCATGTCACATACCCACTAAGCCAGACATTGCTGGAAGCTTAGATTGATGGATGAATAATTATCAGGAACATGTTGGAGTGAGGAGCTCTAGTTTATTCTCAAACATCAGTCTCAGTGGAAACAAACATTTTAATGAAATCTGAGCTTTTTGTAAAAATAAGAGAAGATGACTTCCTGTGGTCTCTGACAGATCTGCCACATTTTAGTAACAAATTATTATTAATTATTATTATATAAACTATCTACAATATGTCCTTTTTGTTCTAATTATTATTATTCATGCCGACTACAGGAAGCAGAATTTCTATGTGCTTTCAGACATTTGGACCCCACCTTATATGGCAAAACATATTAACTTCAGTTACACACCTAATTTTACATCTAACAGAAGCTGCAGAACATATTGTGTCAGAAAATACACCTTATTTTTAATGTACCGCCAAAAACTGCCAACATCCTTCAAAGGAATATCAGAGTTTACTTCCAGAGCCCCTTTAAAACCAACTGCTGTAAATATAAACTACAATAAAATGTCAAATAAAACAACAATCAYAATACCTTGAGACTGACTAATAATAAGTGTTAAGAGTTGCTGCTCAGATAGAATTAAAAACCAGTGAGAAGAAACACGTTTTTAACAGGGTTTTTAATAAATAAAATGATCAGGGCACATCCAGTTTATAAAGACTWAAAAAATGTTTCATCCCCTCAGTTTCTGTGTTCARGTGTTCATCTCAGAYATTTGGAAGATGTTTTAGGATCTAAACATGAAATTTGAATCTCACAAGTCAAATATGTGGATTTTATGTGTTTCAAACCTGCAGCTGTCAATTTTTAGGCAAACAATGTTGCATATTGGTRCTCTAACTTAAAAAAACTAAAAATGTGCTCGGTGAAGTTGAATCTGTCTCTTACATTTGTAGGCTCTGTATGAGCGCTGTGACCGACTGAGGCCGAGCCTGTTCCGGCTGGCCAGCGACACGATGGACGARGACTCGGCTCTGACGCAGATTCTGGCAGCGAACGACGAGCTGACGCTCGCGGTAAATGCTTACAAAGACATGATGACGAGAGGAGAGAGGAACGGAGGAAGAATAACCAGTAAAAGTGAAGAAGTAACCTGTAAGCCTKCTTCTGGTCCCTTTTAGAACAAAAAAAAAAAACATTTTGACCTTTGGTCTGTTGTGTGTTTGATTATATTTGCTGATACTTTCTTAGCGCCCACAAGCCCTCGAGAGATTAAAAGCTACCACCTCATCGATCTGTCAGCGCTGGACTCTCCTCAAACTCAAAGAAAAACTGATTCACAGCCGGTGTTTAAATCCTCTTCACCACTTTTCTCCTCTCGTCTGGAGAGCTCCTTWTTCTCAGAAGCTGAGCAGGACTCAGGTGAGCCTGTGTTCTGGCCTTTATTCTATTATTTCTAATAAATATGTTTAGCATTATTATTTATAAATAGAAATGAAGAAATATGAAATAACATAATATGTATCCTTAAAAATTATCTGAGAGAATTGTTGGTTTTTTATTAATTGTTTTCTGTTTTTTATTATTATTTAAATTTCTTTTGATGTAAAAAGGTGCAGATATTATAAGATTTTTTTCTTCCTTCTGCCGCCTTTCATTTTACTTTTCATTTGCATTTTTTTGTATACTGAATTTGCTTTGTTTTTTTAATGAAATGAATGAATAAACTAAACAAAAAACATGTTGCATCATGTAAAGATGTTTTGTTTTACAGAGTTTGAGGAGTTGGTCTCAAATCAGACGCAGCAGAACCCYAAGTCATATTACGAAGATCTGATACAGGTAAAGTTGTGATCATTTATCTGAAAATAAAGATTTAAAGGCTTGTTTTATTGYTATTTACTTTTTCTTTAGTTGGACAAAGACATCCAGAAGATGAATTCTGAGCAGAACAGAGGCAGAGATGTTTCACTGAGAGCTCGTGGGTGTGGAGGAAGCAGCTCTGCACCAAACAGGACAAATATCTGGTAAAGTTCAAGGAGAGGGAAGTAAATACCTGTAAAAACGTTGATCATTTCAACATGTTTCATTATTGTTATTCAAATGGCAGACTTGTTTGAGTTATAAAGAAGCAGGTAAAGGTGCTTATTAATTAGCCTGAAGTATCTACAGTATTTGGTTTGATAGGGAAACAGTAGAAGTAGATAGTAA